GCATTTAATGTCTTTGCAAGCTATTAATCAGATTATTCAGCATTTATTCAGAAACCTAGGACTACACACACACATTCTGTTGTAGATACAGATATTTGAACTATGTGATGGAAAAAAGAAATGTTTACTGCAATTGTCCTTCAGGATTCATATTTCTCAATGTACTACAATAGTCAGTTTACCATGGTTTGTCTTAGTTTACCTTGATGTTACCTTGTTGTGACCGAATGTTACACAATAATTTATCATGATATACCACATTCTAGAATGATTCAGCAGGATTGTAGCATGATTTACTATGATTTACCACGTTGTTAGCAATTATGTGAAGCTTCAGAACAGTAAAGTGAATTGAAAGACAAAATATGATTTTGTTATTATAGTAATTGTCACATAAGGTTATTTTTTAGTGTCTGAATATATGAATGCAAAAGCACATGTGAAAAGACTATTAATAAGTATAATGTCCAGCAGAGGGTAGTAGAAGACCACTTATTGCTATAGTACCACTTTTATTTTGAACTACTTGGTTTAATCAGTATCAGGGTTTCCGCGGGGTCATAAAAAGTCATAAAACGTCTTAAATTTAATAATAAGAATTTTAGGCCATAAAAACGTCCGGCTTTTCCATACAAGGTCATAAATTACATTTAGCCACATCTTAAATTTATATGCTCATTCATTCATTATCGCGATATAATGTTTTCTCTATAAAACGATATTAAGAGTTCGATAAATGTTAGATCATGTTTATGCGCCAAAAGCGGAACGAAACTCATTTGAACCGCGCGCGCCTCACGGAGCGTTTATCCGCTCGGCTCAAAGTCCAAACGGCAGCGTAGCGTGATCAAGCTCACTAGAGCAGACGCGTTCTTTTACTGTCTATGGTTAACTTTGATCAGTCTCGATCACGAGATCCAGTGAGAAGCACTTGAATTCAGCGAAGAACACAAATGTCTCAGTGATTTAAACCAGTTTAAAGGCAGATGAAACAGCGCTGACGAACAGGAGAAACACTGTGCGCAACTATACAGTCAGAAAGCTTTTCCATCTACACATTTACATCCTTTACCATGGTTTTACTGTAACGTTAGCCTAGTAATATTAACTGCACCATGAAATGTGGGATACATATTGAATTGTATTATATTATTAATGTAGACAATGTATTAAAGGACTAATGGAATATAATTACAGTATTTATGTATTTAGGCTATAGCCTACTGTTTTTCATACATTTCATAAAGATACGTGCCATCAAAGTCAGGCAACACAAACCTGTTTCAAGACTTGAAACAATATCCCCCATTAGCACATGCAGAAACTAAGAAATTAATTTTGAAATAAAGATATTATTTTTGTTAAGGAAAAAATACAAATGTTTGAATGTTCTACCTCAGATTTGTGAAATGTTCACCTGTTTGGCAAGTGTTTGTCATGATATGTTTTGACAATAAAGAGTAGTTTAAAACCACAATTAACACTCTGGTTTCTACAACTTTCAGTTAGGAACAAAAATCTGCCTTCAAAGTTCAAAGAAATAAAGAATTGACATTTATCGTCATAATTATCGATATTGACTGATATTATCGTGATAAGTGTTGTGTTGTTCCTGTGTTATTGATACTTAGGAAAAGGGAGCCTTCAGTTTGTTACTCTTAAGAAAATGGAACCTTTAAATAATTAAACTTATTACTTTTAATGAAAGTCAATAAAAAAAGACTTTTGAAAGGAAGTTATTTTTCGTAATTCGAGTAGGTCATAAATTTAAATAATATTGGTCATAAAAAGGTCTTAAAAGGTCTTAAATTTGACTGACTAAACCCTGCAGAAACCCTGAGTATTGTGCACTAAAGCAAACCAGTCTTTCAATGTGAATACCATTATGCATGCTTACACACACACACAAACACACACACACACAATTGTGGGTTATGATATTGTGAAAATCTCTTTTTGTGGTCCTTAAGCATTTCAGATATTTATTTGTGATGTAAAAATATTAAACTTTCTAATAAATCATTATTTAATATTATATTATAAGCATTTGTTTGTTAGCCATTGCTGAAAACTGGTTAAAAAAGATTAAAAATATCTAATGCTGTTGCTCCCTCTAGTGGACAACAGCGGTTTTACAGCCTACATAAACGGTTGAAATGAATGACAGGAAATTCGTTTTATTTTTTTACTTATATCTCGGGAACGAGAAAGTGAAAAAATCTGAAACTCAGAACTTAGATAGGGTTAGAGGAGCCCTCTTGAACAAGACCCTCCCCGTGTTGCTGAGTGATTGCTGTCGGGAGTAATGTCCGTTTAAATGCATATCTTTGTGGGCTTATATCTCGGGAATGCCCAGGCCAAATCGCACCAAACTCGAATCGAAGCTAGATGAGGACGAGCCCTTTCCAACAAGCTCTTCCACAAGGATCTAGGTGGTGTGGATCAAGAGTTACAGCCGTTTCAAGTTGGGGTTCTCACAGATTAGCGATCCGCGGGGGGGCGCTCCCGAGCCCCGCGACGAAAGATTTGGATCAAGATCCCCGAGAGGACCTTACCATCAAAAATTGAGCGGGCAGAGACTTTCCGTTTTCGAGTTATGAGTGAATTCGTGCTTGGGGGGGCGTGGCCCAATGTTTTACTTTCGTTTTGAGGCTTCCTGTGACAATTAATTATAGAGGCAAATTTTGTCTGATTTGTCTGAAATTTTTCAATGCCGTACAGAGTGATATTACACATGTTCTTGACCTTTTTTAAAGAAGATCTGAGCATTCATTCAAGAGATCAGCATTTACAGCCAATACAGGCAATTTGCCATAGGAAATGTATGGTTTTAAAGCTTTTTGACAGTTATAGCGCCAAGTATGGTCCGATCTCCATGAAACTTTGCATGCTTCTTCACCATGTTATGACACATATGCTCACCAATTTTTGTTTAGTTCTGAGTTTTTATTTATGATTTATAGGCTTTTGTGTGTATTTGACACGCCCCTTTTCTAAATGACCCTGTTATAACCATACGAAAAATGCAAAAGTTCAACTTTTTTTCAATGATTATTGATCTAGAGAGTCCAGAGAATTGTCCTAGACTGGTCTGGTTCCGATCGGGCGAAAATCCAGGGACTAGTTCGCAAAAGTAGGTTTTTAACATATTCGTGAATATTTAATGAACGATTTGATTGACAGCAATGGTTCTAGAGGCAAAGTTGTTCAGCCTGAGGAGATCTATCAAATGATATGCATATTTTGGGGATGTGTGCAACACCACCTGATTACAGAGCCGTAAAACTTGTTAGCACCAACTAGTGGCCAATTTCTTTCAAAACTCTTACAGACCTCTTGGGCCATGAGTCAAACATGTCCGTCGAGTTTCGTTCCGATTGGCCTCCGTTAACCTCGTGTAATAGGTGCTCAAATTCATTGGCCGATGGCGGCCATGTTTTTTGAGTTACGCCAATTTCCTCATACACATACATGGCACCTTGGACCAAGACACTGCATACCAATTTTTAAGTCAATCGGACTAACGGTCAGGTGGTCATAGCCCGATTTAGGTTTTTTGTGTGTTATAGCGCCACCTAGTGTTAGGTCGACGCAATTTTTTTACTGTGACCTCAGATTGAACTCATACACATGTGTTCCAAGATTGGTGAAGATATCTCATTTACTTCTCGAGTTATAGCCATATTAGTAAAATAGGCTCCTCCCACAACGATCATTTTACTCCCCCTAGCGACCGTGAATCGAAAATTCAACTTTTTTTCAATGATTATTGATATTCAGACTCCAGAGAACATGTATGCATTTGTCTGGTTTTGATCGGGCGAAAAACCAGGGACTAGTTCGCAAAAGTAGGTTTTTGACAAAATTCAAAATGGCGGAAAAATTTGCATACCGGAAATGAAATCGGAGATATACGTTTTGTTCTTCAGGCCTCCAGCTTTCCAATGATATAAGACACTTGAGTCTACGACATACGGTTTAGGAGTTATGAGCAGTTTCGCGCAATTGATTGCTGTAGCGCCACCTATAGGCCAATCGGGGTCATACTTTCTGAGGCTCTCCTCGATTTTTGTACTACCATCTGACAAAGTTTCAGAGCTCCAGCACTTACGGTTTGTTCTGCACGATGCGTTTTACGGCAGAAGAATAATAATAATAATAATAATAATAATAATAATAAAAATCAGTACAAATACAATAGGTTTTCAGCACTTCGTGCTTGAACACCTAATAAAAATCAGTACAGATACAATAGGTTTTCAGCACTTCGTGCTTGAACACCTAAAAATCCTTACAATTACAATAGGTTTTCAGCACTTTGTGCTTGAACACCTAATAATAAGCGACCTTTTTGGCGGTTATAGCGCCACCTATGGTCCGATCTCCATGAAACTTTGCATGCTTCCTCAGCATGTTAGGACACATATGCTCATCAATTTTGGTGAACTTCGGACTTTTTCTTCAGGATTTATAGGCTTTTGACTGCATTTTGCCCTGAACCATTTCCTAAATGACCCTGTTATAGCCAACCAAATGCAAATTTTCAACTTTTTTTCGATAATTATTGATCCTCTCACTCCAGAGAACATTTCTGCACCAGTTTGGTTCCGATCAGGCAAAAAACCAGGGACTAGTTTGCAAAAGTAGGTTTTGGACAAAATCGGCCATAAAATTTTTTCCGAGGCTCAAATCGCGAATCCGAGATATACATCTTGTTCGTCCTGAGCCAGGGATCACAGGGATGTGAAAATCTTGATTCTAGGTCAAACGGCTGAGGAGTTATAGCCATTTTAGTAAATCGTGTTGCTGTGGCGCCACCTATGGGCCAATCGGGCTCATACTTTGATAACCTCTCCTCGATTTTTGTACTACCATCTGGCAAAGTTTCAAGGCTCCAGCACTTACGGTTTGGGCTGCACGATGCGTTTTACGGCAGAAGAAAAATAATAATAAAAATCCTTACAATTACAATAGGTTTTCAGCACTTTGTGCTTGAACACCTAAATATAATTCTGTCGTCATGACGTAGTGGCTGGCTATTTATGCCTCTTGCAATTTTACGAGTTGGTCACTCGGTGGCAGCAATTGTCAGCTTTATCGTTCACTAACATTTTCCTCAGTAAAAATGTTTTAAACAAATAAAGGAATAGTGCAAAAAAAAAATGTTCAAACGATACATTCACATGAGATGAAGACTCCAGTCATCAGTAACCTAATACAACTTTATTTTATTTCACATGGAGCAGGTCGCCTCACGGGGACCACTGTGTTGAGATCACATGTCCAGCCAAATAGGGGAGAGTGGGGCTGGTTGGGTTGGGTCCATAGAGGTTGGGTCAAGGGTTGCTTGGCACACAGTTAAATTCTAGTGCACTAGAGGGCGCTGCCACAAAAATCTGACATTAAACTGACTGCCCTCTTGACCACCTGAACACACCCATTTACTAAAATCATCATTGAGGTGAGGACAACTTTTCAATTTTACAGTGTCAAACAAATAAAATAAATCTAAACTAAATACATTTTAGAACTATGATAGATAGAGATATATAAAATGTAAGGATTTCAGTTGATAGAGATAGGAGCAGCTATATTTTGATATGAAATTTAAAAGTCTCTGATGAGTGATGCTATGTGGCTAACATCATTTCTGTAAAGAGGTGTGTCCTAATGTGGGTGGGGTTGGTTGACACACTGATTTGGGGGTTGGTTGACGGTGCCATTTGGTTATAAATGTATTAATTTATGCATTTTACGTATGTTAAAACATAATTAATATTATATATATATATATATATATATATATGTATATACATACACACAATATAATACACATATTATATGTTGTATGTTTATAAATATAATTATGCGTTACATTTTTATTGGGATTGTATGTTAAATTCTCATTAACATAAACTTAATTCGTTTTTATTAATTTTCTTTAAGAGGTCAAAATGGTCAGAAATTATTTAAGAACAACAGACAGGGGAAAGACACCGACACAGATTATGCTTGAGGCAGCCAGACAGGTGAAGACTCAAAACAGAAGTATTAGGAGCACAGCAAAGGACTTCAAAATACCATTCAGCACACTAATCAGATACTGCCACAAGACCAGCCAGGATGAGATTGAAGGCAAGAAAGAGCTATAGGTGTAGCTGTTGGAAATTTATCCTCCAGATTTGGAAGAGGAACTGGTTAAGTATCTGTCAGCCAACATTTACTTTGGCCTATTACCCAGGGAGGTTAAAAAGCTAGCCTTTCAGCTTGCTGTGTCACATAATATCAAGGTGCCTGAGACCTGGTCAGAGCTGCAGCAAGCTGGCCGTGACTGGTTTACTGCCTTTTTGAAGAGGCACGCTTCCCTTTCAATCAGGAACCCAGAGGCCACAAGCCTTGCTCGTGCTACAAGTTTTAATAAAGAAAATGTTAAAGCCTTCTTAAACAACCTAGATACAGTCATGCATAGGCACAGGTTTCCTCCAGGTGACATCTGGAACATGGATGAGACAGGTGTCACTACAGTCCAGAAACCAAACAGTGTCATTGCCGGGCGGGGATTTAAGCAAATTGGGTCAATAACCTCTGCAGTGCGAGGGTCGCTTATTACCCTTGCCTGCGCAGTTTCAGCCACAGGGAATAGCCTTCCTCCATATTTTGTCTTCCCCAGGGTAAATTTCAGGGACTACTTCATTCTGAATGGACCTACAGGTTGCAAAGTAGGTGCAAACCCGTCAGGGTGGATGAAGGAAGAACACTTTTTTGAATTCCTGAAGCATTTTGTGGAGAATACAAAATGCACAAAAGAGAAGCCATGTCTCCTTTTGCTTGAAAACCACGAGTCTCATCTCTCTGTCAGTGGCTTGAACTATGCCAAAGAAAACGGTGTAGTCATGTTATAATTCCCCCCACACTGCTCCCATCGGCTACAGCCTCTTGACCGCACTGTGTATTGGCCTCTGAAGAGGCATGTCAACACAGCCTGTGACTCATGGATGCTGAACAACCCTGGGAAAACCATGTCTATGATGTGCCTGGAATTGTTGCCACAGCATACCCATTGGCTACAACCCCAAATAACATCCAATCAGGGTTCAGGGTGACTGGAATTTTCCCCTATAACAGAGATTTTTTTTTCCAGAAGAGGCCTTCGCCCCATCTTATGTTACAGACCGGCCAAACCCCACCCAACTGCCAATCTTGTTGCTGTCCCTGATGAGCTTCAGTCTGTCATTGACAATGCTGTGCAACAGCTTCACCCTGCCATTGACAATGCTGTGCCCGGACCAAGTGGTTTTTCTGCTGGTACTGGGAGACTTCCCCTAACCCCAGAAGAGCTGCGCCCATTCCCTAAGGGTGGGCCTAGGAACGTTAGTGGTGCCATCAGGAGGAAGAGGAAGACCGCCATCCTGACAGACACACCAGTCAAGCGACAACTAGAGGAACAAAAGGCCGCAACAAAGAAGAGACTCTTCAAAAAAACAAGAAGACACAACTGAAAGCTCCATCCAAAGCTCAAAAAATTGGAAAAGGAGATCATCATCTGAGTCTGATGAAGAGGAATACTGTCTGGTTTGTTTAGAGTCATATGGGAATAGCCGACCTAGGCTAGGCTTCAATGCCTGTATTGCAAAAAGTGGGTCCACGACTTATGCACTCCAGATCTACCAGTCTACATCTGCCAGAACTGTGATTCACCTGCTTGAGACACAGACATGTTGACATGCTAGTTAGCCTAACAGCATACTGCATTTTTTCTGTTACTCCTAATACTACACACACACACACAAACTCACACACAATTTACGTATGTTAAAAATAATGAATATTGTATATAATATATATAATATGTAATATATAGTAGGCCTATATAATATAGTATATATAATATTATATATATATATATATATATATATATATAGACATCATATTATAATAATACTATTTATAAATATAATAACTGTCTGGGGCATTTAGAGTCTTAAGAGAATAGCCGGCCTGGGAAAGTTTGGCTTCAGTGCAACTCGCATACACACACACACAACCCACACATACAAACTGTTGTTTAGTTCAAATGAATACAATGTCGTTTGTTTTGAGTTTTATGGGAATAGCCGGCCTGGGGAAGTTTGTCTTCAGTGCCACTCATACACAAACAAACACACACACACATAGTATTTGTTTTTGGTTTGGTTAATAATTCGGTTAAAAATGGGCAGAAATTCTGTTGAATGTTTTACTGCTTCTGGTTTGAATTAAATGCTCAATTTCTTTATATTTGTCACCTCATTCTTTGTAACTATCTGTGTCAACCAACCCCATTGCATGTCCCAACTAACCCCCATACTGGGGCTGGTTGGCACAAGTGCACAACATGACTTTAATGATGAATAAAACATTTCTAGCAATCATTTGTGAACATTAAATGTATCTGTTGATTAACTGAGATCTTAACCTTTCAGTTGTTACTGGTTAGACTATTTTCACATATAGCATGACTGAGAAATATGACAGAGAGAGTGTGCCAACCAACCCCGCTCTCCCCAACTACTCACTTCAGTAATCCAACTGATATTGGACACGTTTACTTGTGGAATAAGTCAATCAAGAGAATACATATGTGATATATGAAGCAATATAGATGTATATAAAGATATTTAAGGTTCTGTGTTGTTACGACATAACATACTTAATGCTGCACTCACGTGCTATCAGAAAGTTAACTACGGTAGTTAAAAAATTGGACATGAACTCCCGCTCAAGTCAAAATTTACTTATAGCACGTGAAGGCAGCAGCATTATACATGTGAATAAAATATTAAAGGCATTTTAAAAATATTGATAAAAGTTTGTATATTTATATATATATATATATATAAAACAAAAACATTGAAACGGCATGCATTCATTTGTCAGTTTTTGATCATTCTGGCACAGGTAGTGTGTACATGAAAGGCATCATATTAACTTCCATATTAAATCTGTACGTTAACTTCTTAAGTCCATTGCAGGGCCAAACTACCATTTTTCACAAATTTCCATGGTTGTTTATAACATTTACAATAATAATAGTGAAAAAAGTTCATATTCCAAATTGTCAGCATTCTGAAACATGCAGATATAACTGCAAAACCTGATTCTTTTCCATACTGTCACCGAGCGCCAGGGGCGTCACTAGGATTTTCATTTTAGGGGGGCTAAGCCCCCAATATGACTTTTTTTTTTAAATTATAAAAAAAAAGGTAACATTTTAGTTTAGGATCTAAAGCTCATTATTAACCATTTTCATTACCATGCAAAGGCACGGTTTTATAATAACTGTGGTCCCAAATGTGAGGTAGGGCAAATAGGGTGGTTCGGGGTCTCCCCGAGAAAATTTTGGTTTCTCTGATCTACATATGTGCATTTTAAGATGTTCTGAAGGCCAAAAAACTTGGATAGTGGGCAGCTGATTATTTTTCTCTCCTCATCAGCATCACACTCTTTTTCTCTTTGTTTTTATCTTGCCCAGCTGAGCTTTGACTGATTTAGGCTTTTCATTTTTGTCTGTCAGTGAAGAAAGTAAACATAGGGTCAACTGATAGGTTGATTTTGCCTATGAATCATTTTCTCAGACTCGTTTATTTACTGAAAGCTACTAAAGGTAATTAAGTTTATTAAATGCATTCACAATATGTAGGCTAGTGGCTACACATTCATTATTGATCTTATGCCTAATACAGGGCCGTAGACAGGGCTTTATAATCACAGAGGTCCTAAATTTGAGGTTGGTAGGGGGTTCAAATTTTTTATTTATCTGATATGTGCATTTCAAGACGTTTGAAGACCAAAAAAAAAGGATAAGATATAGCTTTAAAACCATGTCAGTGGGCTGAAGCCCCCCTAAAAAGGGCCCTAGCGACGCCCCTGCCGAGCGCTCTAGGACAGATGTGTAAGGTAAAGTTTTTGGAGTTATTTGATCTCCAGTTTAGGATCTCCTTGTTTCCTTTTGAAGAGAGCAAGGAAGGAAGACTGGATTTATACTCCGAGTTTGTGCATAAATCTCGGTTGTTCATGAATTGCTCCGGCAGGATTTAGATCAGTAACACTACAAAACAGGTCAATTGGACCTGTACAACCAAAATCACTTGGTTGAAGAGTCTTTAAAGTCCTCTCTCCTCATAAATGTCATTCTAGTGCCAATAAAACATGGTCTGATGTAAGTCTCAATGACTAAATAGGTTGCAACAGTACAACAATTGATATATGCCTGCATAAAAAAACACCCCTAAACAGCTAAACACACCATTTCCTAAAATGTCCTCTCCCAATGTAAGCTTGAAATTGTTTAAAAAATAATATATTACATTCATGTAAAATGCAGCGAGTAATAAAATATATAAATATAAAATGACGAACTAAAATTATAAAAGCTGAATCCACACATACAAATTGTCATGTAACTACAGCTGAGACCGTCACTGTAGCTTTGGCAGGAATCTCATCCTATCAGCACATCTTGGAATGCTCAAATTTGGGTCCTCATCGTCTCATCAAAGTGCCTCTTTCCATCCAGGTAAAGCATAGACTCTGCAAATAACAACAATATCAAGTTATGAATAATTCTATTAAAACAGAATGTAACAATATGCATAAATAATAAATAATATTTATATCTGACCTCCATAGCTCTGTGGTACAACAGATGGGACCTCCTTCTCAACATGAAAGGTGAAGTGAAACACATTGGTGGTGCTGTGCTGCCGGGTCAATGGGTCAAGCACCTCTGTGTGAACCCTGACCTGGACGTGCATCTCTTCTGTGTAGCAAACCTGACAGCAGAGTATTTTCAACAATCTTAGTCTGAAGTACAAAAAAGAAAAAATTGGCCATAAATTAGTGCATTTGCTAATGATATTAAAGAACTTAGAAACCTGTGAGGAAAGCAATAGCAAAGAACCAATTTCTACTGGCTTCCGAAATAAGATATCATCGACAGCCACCAGCGTTGGTCTGCATCCACTGAAAGACACAAATAAAGCCATGTGAAGAAATGAAAGACTTCTTTACAGTAAATATTCAGTAAATAACAAAGGGGAACCCTCTTACGCAAATGCACAAGCATTGGCCCAACCGAGTTCATAAGCCTTTCTCATCAAAAATCCTCCAAATATCCGGTTAAAGATATTTCTTTCCTGTATAAATGCAAATAATAAAGAAAATTCAGGCACATAAAAAGCATTACACCAAGGTACTCATTTCATCAGTCAAGGATTGCAAGAAGTTTTCCCTCACTTGTGGGTGGCAGATCTCAAGCCCTTTCATTTTGGCATCTTCCATCCACAATGAGTTAGGCGGTAAAATCCGACTTCGAAAGCTAACAGTTCTATACGGAGAAGGTAACTATTCTTAAAAAATGGCTATAAAAATTAAGGCACAGATATTTATATCTGTGTATTGTTAATAAATCTCACCTTGAGTCTAGAGTGTTGAGGAACAGGTTGTGAACGAGAGTCCTCTCCTCAGCTGTAGGGGCCACTTTAAGAAGAGAGGCTGTGCTCAGCTCCACACGCCTCTTCTTGTTAACTGATCAATATAAAGACCATCAGTCTTACTCTATATGTTTCAAGTTGAAGTGGCAATTGTGATTGCAAACACACAAAAGTGCTACTCACTTTCACCCTGTTGAAAAATGGCCTCTTCTTCTGGTCCTTCTGGTATCAATGGGTTTATAAAAGCTGCCCTGGATAAACAGTACATAACCCATGCTTTAATTTGCAGACATAAATCATGAACGCGTTGATCATACAAACAGGTTTAACGTTACCTTTTGTTTTCAGGATCTCGAGCCACCATTACAAACGTGGCATCTAATACATCTGTGTAAGTCCCATTGTGATACTGAGAAAACAGTTAGTTTTATTTTAATGATCTTAATATGTGCAAAATGTAACATGTATATTTCATAAAAAAAGACTTCAGCTATACCTGAGACATGTGCATTTTAGCTTCTATTGAGGTTTTGCCAACCCATGTCACATGACCTGTGAACTTGATGTCACAGTCTGGGTAGATGATGTTTTTTCTCATGTCTGTGAAACAATAAAAAAAAGTGAATTCAAATAATTATTAAAACAAAATAAAATAAAACTATTTATAAGACTTCTATACAAGAGGCAATACCGATCTTGTCCACTAGGGCGGTGACAATAGACAGTGGAGATCTTTTCAGCTCCTTATTCCATGTGTGAGAGTAACAGATGAGCACTAAGGAGACAAGAATGAGACAGTATGTGATAAGACAGAGCGAGTTATGATCAGCCCATACACTGCTGTGCTCATCTACAGCTTAGCCACTGTTGGGCCAAACTGTTCTAGTTGCTTAATCGTTCCATTCCGTGCTGTACAGGTATAGTTTTATTTTCCGTTCCATTCCGTGCCGTACAGGTATAGTTTTATTTTCCGTTCCATTCCGTGCCGTACAGGTATAGTTTTATTTTCCACTGTGAGGCTGATAAAAGAGCTCTTTGGAATGTAATACAAATGCATCAGTCGTTGCCTTGGTAAAGCAAGAATTTACAGACAGTATGAGAGAAACTGGTAGCAAGGCAACCAATCCTGAGTGTTGACGTCACACAAGAACTGTTCATAATCATGCCGTGGCGAACCAAGCTCAAGTGGGAATAATAACTGAAACAGTTTTTTTTAGAACCGACGGGGGACAACGGCTAATGGTTCTATGAAGAACCTGTAACATCCATAGAATCTTTCCATTGCAGAAAAGGTTCTTTATAGTGTAAAAAGATTCTTTTGAATATTAAAATGTTCTTCACACTGAGACAAAATGGTTCTTTTAAGAGCTGTTCACTAAAAGGTTCTTTGGGGAACCAAAAATGGTTCTTCAATGGCATCACCGTGAAAACCCCCTTTTGAAACCTTTATCTTTTTTTAAAAATGTATTACCTGCTAAACTGTCCAAGTCCTCCAAAATTCTTCCAAATCTGTTGAGAAAAAGGTATTTAGGGTAAGGTATTCGTCATGAAAGCAAAACTGACCCTATGTACTTTGTTTGTTAGTACTTCATTACTAGTCTTGTGGTGAACAATTAATCAGACAAAGTTAATACACAGAAAAAAGTTTGTCGTGGTAATCTTTAATCAAAATCTGAAAATTTGCTGCTACTCTGGGACGGAAATCCTTCTCTGATGAATATCCTTAACCGCTCCCCTCCAACCATCAGTCTGCTTTGAGCGAGGCTAAAATAAAACCCTGTCCTCTATTCAATATTTTGTTTCACTTGCAAATACGTCTCAACACTGCAGTAAAGTTGGTTACAACTTCCAGTTCATGGGGACTTTAAGCAAAGGAAAATGTACTCTGATTAGAAAGCATATTCAAAAATTGCATATTCTAAATGCCACTATTTGTATAACCTGCCTTTTAGTACCTGACACTGTTGTGATAGTTTAGATATTTTTCTCTCAAGGCAGGCTGGGTACCCAGAGGAAGATGAGCCTCGATTGCACTGTCCTTCATTGTCTTTGCAGGCAGTTCATCCTGACTCTGAGCAAGATACTGGCTTAGTGATGCACGCTCAGTTAATGCTTGCTTATGGTCTCTGTACAATGCAATGGAGAAAATAAAACATTTTATGTAAAGTGGTCACAATCAACAAGGACTATCATTCTGCAAAAGAAATAACATAACATACTTCCAGTTGGTAGATGCTCCAACTATCTCCCTCAGCCTGTTGCGAACTGTGAAAATAAGGAGGAACAAAATAGAGTTTGAAAGATGCACTGAGACATCACATACTGTATATGTAATAAAGAGTAGTGTTGGATTGGAAAGCATAGCAGAGTCTGTATCATCCAATAACAATATGGAGACAGAAAAAAGTAGTGAGCAGAAATAATGTATTAGAGAGGAACCGAGACTAGTCTGCATGAACAGGCTGCTCACAGGGTGAAGGCATTTGAAAAGAAAAGACACTAGATGTCAAAGTACAAAGAACTACATGCAATGCACATGTATCACGAGATAACAGCAGGACAGTGTTTATTAAGCCACATGCAGAAAGAGTGTCTGAGCATATCAAAGAGAGTAAATGTTCTTCCATTTTACCATTGCTCACAAGTAAAAATGTGTTTCCTGTGGGGACATAAAAGTGGGTCAGGAACACCGATGGGAAATAACTATAATAATTATATATATATAAATAAAACTAATTATTTTATATAATAATTTATATAATAATAAATATATATAGAGCAAAACAAATATTTTTAGTCCCACTTTACCTGCATTCATCCTAAATGAGGAAAGTAAGCACTAAAACGTTGTTTCAGCCTGATAACTAGCACACTCACTGACAATATTTCATTGATTGTGACTGACTAGGTTTAAAGTGTTGATTGGATTGGGAGTTTAAACATTCTTTTTTTATATTTACCCTCAGCCATATCAGGTGCCTTCCCTTGTCGGCACATTTGACCCATGGAAAACCCTCTGCACATTAAGGACGATGCAGACTTCAGGACCCTTTACAGAAAGCAAAGAAATGGGAGTAGAGAGCTGCCATTACTTCAAAAAATACTAACAGCAAAGTCACAAAATCATGCAATCTTCAACAAAAGAAACTATGTTTTAAAAAAAAAGGTTCCAATGCATGACTGTACAAATGTGACGCATGACTGTACACAACAAATGACTGACGCAAGATTGTAAAACTCACCGCGGAGAAAGCATCTTCCTTCTTCTTGGCTAACCACTTTATAACAGCACGGATTTCGTATGATATACAACAGCTCACTTCTTGCTTCTTACAGCGATGTCTGTCAGCTTTCTTGACAGTGATTCTTACTTCCTGGTCTGGGACGTATGTGAGGCTAAACTACCGTACTTACCGTGTTAAAAGCGCACGTCTTCTTCACTAACGGTCCAACTGTTAATGTTTTTGTTGTTTTCTTTTACAAGCATTTAATTAATTAATTAAATAAATAAATAAATAAATAAATGAATAAAATAAATCTTCCAGAGATCGCTGTAACATGCAGATAAAGATGTTTTGGAGACAAACAAGATTGCAACGGAAAATAAAAATAAATAAAAATAACGGTCCAACTTCTACCGTAATTACGGCCGTTATACTTTAAGTTTTCAAAGTAGTCAACGAGACAAAAGTGTTAAAAAAACGTTATTGAAACATTTGACATGAGTTTACACATCTTCTAGATTATTCTAGAAAGAAATAAAGCTAAACTAACGATAACATTAACCTACTAATCTGAGACCTGCATAATCACGTTTGCACTTTATTTTTCACCAGTATCAAATATGTCACATACTTTGCCAGATTAGTTAGTTGTGTGTGTGTGTGTGTGTGTGTGTGTGTGTGTGTGTGTGTGTGTGTGTGTGTGTGTGTGTGTGTGTGTGTGTGTGTGTGTGTCTCCTATTGTTAAGATTGTATGTTGTTTGTCCTTTTTTTGTTCAGGGAGTGAAACCTGGGCCAATAAACAAAACGGTCATCAGCAAACCAAGACTCAACCGGCTCATGGAAGGAGGAGTCAGGTGAGGTAGTGAGATGCTATTGCAATTACTGCATCATACAGTCTACATATGTATATATACACACACACAAACACACACAAATAAATAAAATAAAGATTCCATAGGTGTCACTTACCTGCAAATATTACTAACACTAATTACACTACTAACACTAATACATTCTTTCACAGGAGTACACTCTACAAGGGCTTGATTGGGGACCCACTAGACATCTCTTTGCTACTGATGGAAGACATGTACAAAGACTTTAGCATTATTGAGAAACCTCTAGCAGCAACTATGGGCATCAGTGACGAGAAGACCCTTGTTGAGACAGCTTTTGGCTTAGCACAAAGGGGGAGTGTGCTCTCATAACAGCAGCCTGTATTGCCCACAAAGTCAGTCAAGATGCACCAGGATCCTCCACCTTACCCACCGCTGCCTATTGGGGAGTACAGGCTTGCCCCGACAGACTGTGTGCATGTGTGCACTGAGGAGGAGCACTTCCACTTTAAAAGCTTGAATGTGACACTGGACATGGCCTATAAGATTGCGGCAGCGACAAGAGAGCAGGCAGCAGACCAGGAGTGGCATCAGCTCCGCAGGCCTAGGATCACCTCCTCACATTTTAGAGAAGTGTGTTTTGTGAGGGGGGTGAGCTCTGCAGAGTCTCTTGCAGTAAGAGTCCTCAAAGGAACAAGGCAGACTGCAGAAATGAGAAGAGGTGCAGACATGGAGTTTGAGGTGGCAAGGGAGTACTGCCAGATGAAAAATGTCAACTACACACCCTGTGGCCTCGTCATCCAGCCAGATGCCCCTTAGCTTGGTGCCTCGCCAGATGGCTTGATTTTTGATCCATTCGCACAGCCACCGTTTGGACTGGTTGAGATAAAGTGCCCTAATGTGAAGAACTATGTGGACTGTAAATACCTTAAAATGCAGGATGGCACTTTGGCTCTTCGTAAAAGCCACTCTTACTTCTGGCCGGTGCAGGGTCAACTGTTGATCACTGGCCTGCAATGGTGTGACTTAGTGATTTGTGCTCAGGAAGACATGCTGGTGCAGCGTATCCAGGTTGACCCAGAGGTAAAAGCAGTCATCAGAGAGAGGGTGGACCAGTTTTACTTTAAAGTGTACATGCAGAAGTACTTGTCTGTCTCCAAAAGATCTTACTGATCGATGCAGGATAATTCAGGTGGGGGCCTTTGTATGAAGAAAATGAAATGACCTGCAATAAACTTTTGTTATTGTGAGAAGCAGGAGTACAGTACTTTTTTTCACAGTTCACGTTTGTCATTTATATCTAGAAATTAAACCATAACTATTTTTGAGGGTCTCTTACAGGCAATTTCAATGTTTCATGCATCACTGTTGGAAGGATGTTCTTTAGGTCAGCCAAACTCTTTATCGCCAAAGAAGCAATATTTGCATCAAAAAGTTAAGTTTCAGTTTCATTTATTTGTCATTCAAACATGTTAGACATGAAGGAACGAAATTCGTTTCTCAGGACCAGCAGCGTAATACAGAAAAAATGGCAATTTAAAATTCTAAGATAGACCTATATAAAACGTATAAAATACATCTCTATAAACATTAAAATACCCTTAAGTTTATAAAAAAAAAAACATAGACCATAATTAACCCATAATATCACAAAGTGCCTTGTGCAGTAGCAGCATCGAGCGAGCAGAGGGCAGAAGGGCCCCGAGGAGCCCTAAACTAAGGAGTTCATAAGCATAAGGGGAGTGTGGTAAACAGTTTATTCGCTGGATGAGTGGAGTCCTTCATAATGTCCAATGCCCTGCTTCTGCACCTGCGGACATAGATGTCGTCTAGGGAAGGAAGGCTGTCATTTGTTGTTATTTTCCTAGCAGACTTAACTACTCGCTGCAGCGCCTTTTTGTCAGCTGCAGAGCAGTTTCCATACCAGACAGTGATGGAGAATGTCAGTGTGCTCTCCACCACACTCCGATAAAAACAGGCAAGGATAGCAGGGTTGAGGCCGGCCTGCTTCAGCCTCCTTAAAAAGTGCAAGCATTGGTGGGCCTTCTTAATAATGCTGGCTATGTTGGTGGACCATGTGAGGTCGTCGGAGATGTGCAGGCCCAGATATTTAAAGTTGGTCACCATTTCTACAGTTACTCCATCAATGTAGAGGGGAGGAGGTAGGGTATGAACTCTCCTCCTAAAGTCCACAACTATCTCCTTAGTCTTCCCCACGTTGATGCAGAGGTTGTTTTCTCTGCACCAGACCACGAGTTCCTCCACCTCCTGCCTATATGCTGACTCATCATTGTTAGATATCAGTCCAATCACAGCTGTGTCATCTGCAAACTTCACTATGTGATTGCTCAGATGTGTTACAGAGCAATCATATGTGAGAAGCGTATAGAGCAAAGGGCTCAGGACACATCCTTGTGGAGAGCCCGTGTTGAGTATGAGGGTGGAAGATGAAGTGTCGTGGATCTTAACCGACTGTGGCCTGTTTGTCAAGAAGTCCAGGACCCAATTGCAAAGAGATGGTCTTAGTCCCAGCAGCAGCAGTTTGTTAATTAATGTCTGCGGAATGATGGTGTTAAAGGGAGATGTAAAGTCTAGGAAAAGCAGCCTGACATAGGAATCCCTGCTCTCTAGATGGGTAAGAGCAGAGTGGACGACAGTTGACACTGCGTCAGACACGGACCGGTTCCTTCTATAGGCATACTGATGGGGGTCCACATTGATATTAACAGTGCCTTTTATGTGAGCCAGAACCAGACGCTCGAAGCATTTCATGATCAGTGGAGTGAGGGCCACAGGACGATAGTCATTCATGCTTTCAACCACTGATTTTTTGGGCACTGGTACGATAGTGGACGTCTTAAGACAGACAGGCACAGTAGCTAGGGAGAGTGATAGATTAAAAATGTCTGTTAGCACCCCCGTAAGCTCCTGAGCGCATTCTTTCAGAACCCGGCCAGGGATGTCATCTGGGCCCGCTGCCTTGCTGTCCTCACTTCCTCAGCAGACACACTGAAAGATAGCTCACCTGGAGATACTGTGAGCTTGGTACTTTTGGAGGAGTTTAATAAGTCAAAGCGAGCATTAAAGGCATTTAGATCATCAGGAAGGGATGGGTCCAGGGGACATTCTGCATCCTTACCTTTATATCCTGTGATGCTCTTAATGCCCCTCCACATGCTCCGGGGGTCGTTGGTGTAAAAATGACCCTGAATCCGTAGGGCATAAGTAGCTTTAGCATTTTTTATGCCACCCACTAGTTCCTTCCTAGCTGCTCTCAGTGCCACTGCATCCCCAGACCTGAAGGCTGAGTCCCGTGCTTTTAAAAGAGACCGCACTGCTCCATTTAACCAGGGTTTCTGATTTGGATACATGGTTATTTTCTTGGTGGTAGTGACGTCATCGATACATTTGCTGATGTATCCACAAACAGATAATACATATTCCTCCAGGTCCACCCCATTTCCACCTGTTGCAGCTTCCCTGCCAGGAGGTACGTTCAAAACAGTCCTGTAACATGGAGACAGCTCCGTTTGGCCACACAGTGATGGTCCTCTCTGTGGGCTTGTTGTTTTTGAGTACAGGATGGTGAGTAGGAACCAGCAGGATGGAGATGTGGTCAGAGAAGCCTAGGTTGGGGCGGGGCACCGCTCTGTATGCCTCCCGTCTGTTGGTGTACACCTGGTCAAGTGTATTGTTTCCCCTAGTTGCTAAGGTGACATGCTGGTGGAAACGTGGCAGAACATCCTTTAGTTTAGCCTGGTTAAAGTCCCCTGCTATAATGAAAAAAGCCTCCGGATGCTTGTTCTGTAGCTCACAGATGTGGTCATGAAGCTCCTTGAGTGCTATGCTAACGTTAGCACTCGGGGGAATGTAAACAGCTACAATATACACAACTGTAAACTCCCGGGGCAAATGAAACGGCCGACACTTTAATGATAGGTATTCCACAGATTCCGAACAGTGGCTGCTCACCTGACTACAGTTTGTACACCAGTCTTTATTGATGTAAACACACAGCCCCCCTCCTCGAGATTTACCTGACAGATGGTTACGGTCAGCTCGGAAGAGAAGTAGCCCGTCGATCTGGTACACCATAATTGTTATATAAATAGGTTATATAAATACAGCGTATTTTGCAATAAACACAAAGGACAGAAAAAAGTTTTTTTTATTATTTATTTGTAACAAAAATAATTAAATCATTCCATATACAATGTCTCATGGTGACTATAAAAGATGTTTTCAGATTTCATATACAATACTTTACTGTATCAAAGTCCTTTTAGGCAAGTCATGCCACTCGGCCGCCATCTTGGCAACGCCTCCGGGCAGCTATTTCGGACTAACAAGACCAGGCTCCTATCTAAATGAATGGGCAGAGAGTCAGAACTGCAGTTTCACTGGTCACCGGGACATAAAAACTGCATGTATAGCAACAGCAGTAAAATATGATAAAAATCGCTGAAAAAGTGTGATGACTTTGCCCCAAAATAAGGTTTAAAACGCCTTTTTCCCCACAGGTTATACTTTTACTACGCATGCGCAAGGGTTCTCTCCCTCTCTCTCGTGCACGCACTACACAGTTTGAAGCACAGTATGTGCTCGCTCGCTCTAGTTTCCGGGAGATTCGCTATCAATCTGCGGGAGACTCCCGAAACTTCCGGGAGACTTGGGATGTCTGATTTTTATACAACTCACACATACACTGCATATCAAATCTGCCGCCTTTTCAAACAGTAACGTATTTTCCGCTGTCGCAAACCTCAACTGTGCGCATGCGTCAGTGGAACCAGACGATAGGCTTAAATGTTTCCCGGCTTGACTGTTAAAAGCAGACGATTGGCTTTCCAGCGGGAGGGGCGGGACATGTGCAGACAACCGCCATCTTTGGCGTTACGGGTTTTCCCTATTTAGTTGTATTAAGGATTGATGAAGTGGCATGTCTCTATATAAATAGTTTCTGACTGTATGCATGGTTTGATTTCATACATTTTACTAGAAGAGACAGAGAGGGGGACAATTAATGAACAGTTGGCACTTTGACAAATTAAATCACTCAGTCAAACATAACAAAACTTGTATTGCTACATAAACATGTATCATGTAATACATGCCAAATCTACATCAGAGAATCCAGTTCGTTGAAATTGTTATAGTTTATAAAGAGAGACAAATGGAACAGAATTGAGGGAGGTCCATTAGCAGTTTAGCGAGCAGATCTGAGACAATAATATTGACCATTCAGTGTGTTAGTATCCAGAGAGACTGGCTCAGTGAGGTTAACAGTTATTTGGCCCAAGCTTTGACCAGTGGCTTGTTTTGATAGTTTGTTAGGAGGCAGGCTACTGCAAAAAGCTGGTTGATACTGCCACAAATTGACAGAGGGATAATAGTGTCAAACAGTTTGTTCTCTTTGATGCGCTCAAACAGTTTGTTCTCTTTGTCCTCTGCACATGTATCCGTAACCATGCAATGTCCTGAGTGACCAGCACTTCGCCATGAGACAGCTGTGACTTTTTACTCAGAAAAGGTGGTCTGTAAACTTTGCAAGGCACTAGGTCGTCAATTCTGAATCCCTTGTCCACCATTACAGCCATGTCTTTATCCAAAAGAGGGATAATGCCAGATTGCCTGAACAATTCTTTGTCGCTGATCGAGCCGGAATACAGTGAGGAAATAAAAGTAACAGCACAATGTGGTGACACAACAATCATTCATTTTAGGGTAGTGTGGGATTTATACTGTTAAAAAAAAAAAACACTCCATAAGAGTAAAGATGAAGGCATCTGACATCTCATCTCTGTACAGTCAATAAGGACTTGGGTGTCAGAGTATTTGCCGAATACACTCGGCATCGTGGCTCTAATTGTCTCAGGAGGCATCCATATCCCAACAGCAACCAATAAGGTGTACAAAAAATTTACCCAGGTTTTGATTATCCTGCTGACGGTGGACTGATGAATATTGAAACGATCACCCAGATCTTTCTCCTTCAGTCCCAGTGATAGGTACACCAAGAACAGGAACAGTTCATCAATCATCTGAAGGCATCAGCTCTGGTGGGGAGCAGGGGGAACAAGTCTTAGTAGTAAAAACGATAATAATTTCATACTCATGGTCATCATAAATGTTTGTAAAGTGGGGTCCAAAAGTCTGAGACAGCTTGTATGTGGTTTTAATTATATTGAATTAGACAGTTGTGTTGTTACGGATGCAGATTTACCAGCAAGCTACTTTTATAAACAAAATGATTAAGTATGAACTATGCCTACCGGTCGACGAGGTGGATCAGTGGCATTGTCAGGAGCTGCTGTTGTGCTGGAAGTGGATGACTGTGTACCAACACGCACTATTCTCCTTGTTGCAGGTTCAATCTGTCTCCAAAATGCCTGTAGGTGACAGTAGCTGGCAAATCTAAAAGAGTGAAAGAAAATTATTATTACCTTTAAATCAAAGCATAACCCTTTATTGATGTTTGGAAAATGCATCATCACAAAGCTGAGATATGTGGTTCTCACAGGACAGAGATGCTACAAACAGGCTATGATGATCTTATAGATTAAACTAGCCAACAGTATATAAAGAAGTTAAAATAATCTCAACCTTAAACATCTACAGCAGTAAAATGAAACGTACACATAAACCAAAGGGATCATTTTACTGCACTATGAGTACTTTTACTTTTCATACTTTTAAGTACATTTTTCTGATAATACGTACATACTTTTACATAATTAAGGTTTTGAATGCAGGTAGTGGGGTATTTTCACAGTGTGGTATTAGTGCTTTTACTGAATTAAAGGATCTGAATATTCTGCCCACTACTGTGATTCATAAATGAATGGATTTGAACACAATCTAGGTCTGCAAGAAAGTCATAACCACAGAGGTATGCAAGTTACTGTAAGTATCATATGACATGATACTGGTATAGAATCTGAAGTCATCATCATCCGATGCTAAAAACCTCTCCAAGCCAAACGACTGCTTCAGTGTAACCTCAGCCATTCTCTTTTGCATCTCCTCTATCACCTGCTGCTGGGCCTCTATTTTCTCACATGCTATATATCCAAAGCTGATGGTTCTGGTTTTGCATCGTAATCATGGCACTGAAGCAACAGTTCAACATCCATCTCTTCCTCTTCAGTTTATTCATCCTCTGGTCTGGGACGTATGTGAGGCTAAACTACCGTACTTACCGTTTTAAAAGCGCACGTTTAAAGATGTCTTCTTCACTAACGGTCCAACTGTTAATGTTTTTGTGTTTTTGTTGTTTTCTTTTACAAGCATTTAATAAAATTAATTAATTAATTAATAAAATAAATCTTCCAGAGATCGCTGTAACATGCAGATAAAGATGTTTTGGAGACAATGAATAAACAAGATTGCAACGAAAAAAATAATAATAATAAAAATAACGGTCCAACCGTAATTACGGCCGTTATACTTTTTTAAGTTTTCAAAGTAGTCAACGAGACATAAAAGTGTTAAAAAAACGTTATTGAAACATTTGACATGAGTTTACACATCTTCTAGATTAATCTAGAAAGAAATGTCCTTCCAACTAACGTAATGTCAATTGAAAACATCACATTCCTACAGTGTTTTGATCCCGAAGACCCGAACAGCATGAGCGGTTGCGTCATGACGTATCTCGAATGGACAACTGCTATTGGTCCGCAATCGAAGTATTCAGACCCCTCCCCCACCGGCAAATATATGCCCGCTCGAGGTGATAAACAAAAGACATTACAGAAGCCAGGTGAAAACAGCCGGTTCAGTTGCTGCATGCGAGTCCCTTACAGGAGAAACCCAAACTTGACAGCGGAGGGTAATATTCTGGGAAGCGAATGAAGAAACACCTTTTGCTTCAATTCACATATAGAGGACTAGTGAGAAAAGGGAAAAAGAGCAAAAGAAGAAAATGGCCAATTTTATTTTGCGTAAAGCGGAGCCCAAAGACGTGCCTGACATATTGCGACTGATAAAGGTAGACCTCACACTGGTATATACATATGGATATTTTAAAGTAAAATATGTAAGATTATGCTGTCGAAAACTTTTTTAAAGTGTATAAATATGTTTTAGAATATGTTTATTTGATGTTCTGTCACACGAAATCATATTACAAGTTACCATCACATCTATTCTGATTTTTATATTAATGTTAAATTGTTTCATAACAGTTTTATGACATTTGATTAATTATCTCAAAATTTCCCTGCTTGAAAACAAGCCCTAGGCCTGGGGCCCATCACCTAAAGAACTTGATGTTCAACATAGTTCAGGAAGCATTTTTTCTTTACTAACGTTACCTTCTATAGGAACTCGCCAAGTATGAAGAAATGGAAGACCAAGTTATATTAACTGAGAAAGGTGAGACGACTCTTTATGTCAAATGTGAAATCTCATCAATAGTTTGCCCGCAATGACAAGTTTTGTTTTTTAGATCTGCTCGAGGATGGATTCGGAGCTCACCCGTTTTACCACTGCGTGGTCGCAGACGTGGCAGCCGAGCATCAGAAAGTCGAGGGTAAACACCAAGATGATCTTTAATGAACTGTTAAATAGCTGAGTAGTCTGTTCTGCAGTTGAATGTTAAACGTTTCATCAGAAGTTACGTCCTAAAAAAAAGGCGTTCTTACATCCCTTGTTTAACATTCATACACAAAGCACATTCATGCACAAGTATTGCAATTGTGTAAGACACCAGTGTTCACACTTATAGGTTATTCTGTGATTGGATTTGCCATGTACTACTTCACCTATGATCCTTGGATTGGCAAACTGCTGTACCTTGAAGATTTTTATGTAATGAGAGAGTACAGAGGTAAGGGTGTGTTATTAAGGGTGTCTCTTATGAAACTGCAGGCATTTCCTCAATCCCCCTGACTAATTTCATACTTCACAGGTTTTGGAATTGGGTCTGAAATCCTGAAAACCCTCAGTGATGTAAGTTACCCGTTTTCAGACACTAATCCATGCAAATTTTTGATACAAAACTGCAATTGCTGACACAAAGCAAGTAGTTTCAAACACAAAATAGACCACAGATTATGTAAAGGTTTTATGTTGTCTTTAGATGGTTGTTGTTTTCATGAATTACACATCTAGATGCTACCATAAAGAGTTGTTTCCTCCTACAGACAGCGGTGAAGAATCGTTGCAGCTGCATGCATTTTATCGTGGCTGAGTCCAACAAGGCATCCATCGACTTTTACAAGCGACGTGGGGCTTCCGACCTCTCGCTGCAGGAGGGATGGCGACTTTTCAGGATTGATAAGGAGAATCTCCTGAAAATGTCTGCTGAAGAGTGAGCTGGCCCAAAGTTCCAGTGTTCAATGAGGGAGTAGGGATATCTCACAGCCATTTCTCAGTTTAAAAAAAAAACTTTAATGACTGTAAATATTTTAGACACTGTGGGCATTATTAATCATGTTAACATAACAATTTAGTCTTGAGATCGAGTTATAGCAGTACTTGTAGTCATATTCTATAGTTTGCATGTCAGATTAACTTATCAATAGTCATCTATTCATTGAATGCATTGAAAATAAAAAATCTAAAAAGTATTTGTATTTAATTTTATGCATAAGATAACACCTTCAGGCATTCCTCCCACAACAAATGTGCAAGTCATAAGGGTAAAAGAGTAAAAGCAGACTGCATACTGCACTGTACTGTAAATGAACAGAGAATGGATTGTTTCCTGGAGGGTGCTGTACTTTGCAGAATGTCCCTTTGTTTATGTCCAGACTAGGCCAAGTTCATGTTTCATGGGACAGATTCTTATCAACGTGGTTTGTGAAATGGTAATGTAAACTTATGAAAGTTCGAAATCTTTGTTTAACGATACTGGAAAGCTCTAGAGAATGCAATGCCAACACTGGTGTAGAATACTCTGGAAATACAATTGGACCCATCAGTAAGACCTGAAAGTCATTGAGTTGCTGAAAAGTGTCTGGAAATTTCACAGTGCAGGTCAAGTAGGTAATTCTCTTTTTCAGTTCAGTCCAAATGGTTGCAGTGTACATTTATAAAGTAAATTTATTTTATATAATGGACAAAAAAAAAAGGGTAAAATATACAGTTTCAGTAAACACGGTCAATAAAATAATACAGCAAAAACCACTAAACTAATACAGTGCATTGATGAGAGAACACAATCCCGGTGCAAAGCAGGAACTTCTCATTAAACTTACTGCTTTGTCTCAACTTGATTTTTGGCTGTCTGTTTTATGTGTCTTCTCAACCTGTAAAGAAAAGGGTAAACCATTACAAAGAAGGAAAAGTATTCATTCCAACATTTTAGGAGGCTCTTGGTGCCATCAAAACAGTCTCCCACTACTGATTTTGGACTTACCTTGCTAAATTATTGGGGTACATTTTTTGTAAAGAAACCGATACATTTATTCATCAAAGATGCATTAAAGTGACCATAAAACCATTTATAATGTAACAAATTATTATTTCTATTTCAAATAAATCCTATTCATCAAAGAATCCTAAAAAACAGCCACATTTTTGACAGAAATATTAAGCAGCACAACTGTTTTTCAACATTGCTATATCTTCGTTTGTGTTCCGAAGATGAACAGAGGTCTTGCGGGCATGGAACGACATGAGGGTGGTGAATAATGACATTTTTGGGTGAACTAACCCTTTATAATATAAAACAGTTAATTTTCTATTGAAAATATAGTATAACAAATATTTTACTGTATTTTTAATCAAACAAATGCAGACTTGGTAAGCATAAGGGACTTTTCAAAAACATTTGAAAAAACCAGACTGAAGGTGCCTTCACGCCATGTCGTTATTACCGTAATTACAAGATTAAGACTTGTAAAAAACATTCACATCCTAGTAAAACTCGTAATTACAGCTTGTTAACTGGGAATTTTCTGAGAGCTCCCATTTGTACCACGTGACCACTGTCTGCAGACTCATATTGCCGTTGATAGTGTTGTCATAAAAAAGCTTAATTCCAAGTCTGAGGACATAGAGCGGTGAAGCAGAAATTCACGTGCTGTTATCTCATAATTACGACATTGCGTGAACGCAGCATGAACCATATCTTTTGAATGGAAGTGTATATCTGTGAAAGTTTTTTTCAAGAATGCGGCATAACAATTTAGTCAAAGGCAATTAAACCTTAGAGACATTTGGTCCGAACCTGCTCAAGACATTAGCACTGTATGCACTCTTATCTTGGGAGAGGGGAAAAAAAAAAACCTAGGACAACACTGTTCCAAGTATCAGATTTCTCCTCACTTTGTCCTTGGATGGTGACTTCCCTCTCAGCAGCTCCTCCAAAACAACTCGCCCTTCTGAACCCCGGGAAAATATGTAGTCTTTTGTGGTCTATTAAAAACAAACAGAAACACTTACGTTGAGAAAACACAATCAGGTCATATTACTCATCATCAGTAGACTATACAAGTCTAATATTTAACTCACCCTCAAGTGGTTCCAAACCTGTATGAGTTTCTTCTGTTAAATACAAAATAATTTGTTTTGAAGAATGTCTGTAACCAAACAGTTGATGGGCCCCATTGACTTCCATAGTAGTTTTTCCCATACTATAGAAGTCAATGTTTGATTACCAACATTCTTTAAAATATCTTCTTTTGTGTTCAGCAGAAGAAATAAATTCATACAGGTTTGGAACAACTTGAGGGTGAGTAAATGATGACAGAATTTTCATTTTTGGGTGAACTATCCCTTTAAATGTTGTACTTTTGACTTTAAAACAATTGTGCAAATATTAAAGCATTAACTTAGTGTTCATATAATTTTCTGTGCTGTTCCAGTGAGGCAGGGAATAGTATATTATTCACTTTAATTGACTGAGCTTATGCATGGACAAATTCTCAAAATATCCCTCCAATTTCTAGTTTTACACTTATGGATGGCCGCACAGGGAAAAAAGAGGAAGGAACACAAGACTATCAGAACACACAATTCACAGACCGAATTTCCTCCAGGCAAGCGCTGTTAATATCCCAGGGTGCAAGTGATATTCAAAGCCTCAGTTACTGCTGTGTATTGGGCGGCCTGCCGAGAAACAACCACAGACTCTGTCCATCTGTAGAGAAAGAAATGTATACTTGCCCTGGCAACGGAGGCGGCATGTTGTGGGTAGAACATAGAGGCGCTGAGAGCCATCAACCCAGTGGGAAACATCAGTCTCTTGATTGTACTGCCTGTCCAGACAAAACAAACAAAAAGAACCAAAACAGTAGTTAATAATAACACAGAACAGATGTTACAGGTCAAAGACCTTGATATGATTTAAATGGAATAAATAATAACAAATAATGAATAAGAATCATACCTTTTGCTAAATAAAGTCCCAGAATTCCAGAAAAACCGATAACACCGACACTGGCATAGAACTCAGATGGAGGGTCATTCAAAAATGCATATATATCTGAGAAAAAAAAGAAATGCAATACTGTTTAATATAACCACACAAACAGTAGTATAGATTAGGGGTTTCAAACTGGGGTCCAGGGATGGAGTGCTAGGGGGTCAGAGGAAATGTTTAGAAAAAAAACAGTGTTGGAAATGTATATAAAAAAATAATTGATAAAACATAAATAAATAAGATTAAAATATAAAAAAGACAAAATAATTATATATAAACCAATTATATATAAATACAAATGAGATAAACAAAAACAATAACAAAATTAATTCAATACCATATATTAAAATTAATTGTAAAAATACATAAAAAATAAACAGATTAATAAATAAAAAATTAGGAATATATATATATATATATATATATAACATTTGTAAAATATTATATATTAAATTTAGGATATTTTACAAATGTTATATATTTTTATTTATTTATAACATTTATTTTTCACAGTATAAAATTGTGTCTTTCTTTATACATAAAAATGTATATCTGCCTTTTAAATATTAGGATGGGGGTCCCTCGCATTGAAAACTCATGATAAATGTGTGTTTTTGTCCGTACCCTTTACAATATTTTGAGTGTTACTCACACCGGGCTCAACAGTCTTGTAGTAAGACTATGATTAAAAGAGAGAACATTTTAGGTTCATTTTGTAATAATTTATCACAATCATAAATTAGTGGCATAATAATTGTGGCTAAAAAAGCCAACATAACTTGCCTGTACTTTCTCCACGGTAAACTGTGTCTTTTCCTGGAGGTGGACAAGAGTCATAAAGAAATCATGAGAACTATAAACCAAACATTATGAAATTTAAATAATAAATGAATACATAAAATATGGAGAAGAGATGCATGTATATATCCTCTTTATCTGCATTTTATTGATTTACACTGTATTAACTACATTTTGTTTCCCTAGAAGTCAAGCTTTTCTTTCTGAATCACTAAACAATGTCAGTTTTAAAGCATACCTGACACCATGAAATATAAGGTTCCGCCGTCTTTCTCAGAGACGCCACACCCTGCTCAACATGACCAACCTCGGGCTCCTCGTACCTCAGCTGGGACTCAGGCGTGTTATAGAGTGAAAGCTGAAAAATAAAGGGGTATGGTAAAAACACTTACCATCAAGCAAATAACCTCCTCGTTCTGACCCACATCAACCCAAAACAAACTTCACAGGAAGTACCTCATCAGTCTTTAGGGTGGTGTTATTTTCTTTGGCCTCGCTTGCAGCAAAAACAGTGGCAGACATCAGGCCAAGGGCTCCAGGCACTGCCACGGGCAGCACCACCTGAACAGGGAAGGGCACAGAAAACAAACATTAGAAATACAAACCCCAGAAGCAGTGCAAATGATGTATTCATATATGTTTGAGTATTGGACAACTGAAAAACAGTATTACAATGGAGCAAAAAGAAGCAGCACGTTTTAACATAATAGGAGTTGCCTTGTTTATTAGGCAGAACACTGAAGCATCAGTTTCACATGATTCAGGAGGAGGCGCGTCACTCTCTCTCAAGAGACATTGCTAGAATTCCAGGCATAACATAATTTATTAGAAAACGACAGTAATATAGTTATCATGCAGCCAGAAAAGTATAGTTCTTAAACATATGTATAGATTATAATCCGGTTAAATATAAACATCACAATAAAAAAAAAAAAAAACCTTATCCGATCAAGCTACAGTTAGCTTAGCTAACGTTAAGTTACATCAGTGCTGTAGCCACTGAGATGCGCGCATCTTTAAAATAATCTCGGCTTTCTTAAAATGCATAATTATCAACGTTAATTACGAATATGAACACAACAGTATTTCCATTAATTAAATACATACACTTCGTACCTTGGCTATTTTCCTAAAATTTGACATTTTTTCTTGAGAACAGCGCTCTGCTACGCAGTGTTGCCAGGTCTGCACAACAAAACCAGCCCAATTGCTCATCAAAACTAACCAAATCACGGCCAAAATTAGTCAAAAAGCGTTCCGGGGTGTTTCCCCGATAAAACTCACGTTCCAGTGGGTAAAAAATCGCATCAACCCGTGCACTACACAAATAACCCGCGGAAACAGTGTAAAAGTAGCCTAATTCCTCAATAGACGGGCTTTGATAGTATCCAGTTGCAGGCCTACGGCGGACTTGGCAACACTGCTGCTACGGCAAGCCTGTATGGACAAGCGAGAGATGTAAATATTTTGAACGTTTTTGTAAATAATTATGTGAATTTATCATATTATTATCAATCTCGCATTCTCCTTGATCTAAGATTTTTTTTATTACCTGAGACGTATTACAAACAAGATATGCATTTAATATATTTTGTGTCTCAATCATGTGTAACCAATGCAGTGTTCATTTTAAACTAGGTATTAAAAATCGTTTTCATTTAAATAAAACTTATTCAAAATAAAAAATATTATAAGATGTTACATTATAGATATTAAATTGTTGGCAACTAACGGAAACTAAATAAGGATAAGTTAGTAGCCTATTGAAATGACTAAAACTGCAATAAAAATAAAAACTGATAAAAAACAAGCACATAACAAATTACTAAATTCCTAAAACTTAAACCAACTGAAAATATACAAATAAAAGCTAATTCAAAACATTAGGCCTAATAAGGCTAATCATAATAAACACAGTAACAATGCAGCTCACATTTCACTTTAATTATGTAGCCTATTTTTCGTAACACATCAACAAAGATCCAGTAACTTTGTTTTATTTTAAATGTTACTAATTTATTAACACTTTAAGACATCATTTGTCTGATTGTTAAAAAGACTTTTACAACATGGAAAAGGCACTTCATGAAATAACCCTCAACAGCTTAATCTACAAAGAATTAATGTTATTCATAAAACTTTATATAGAGTACAAAGACAAAAAATACCAGACTACTTAAAGAACAAGAGTCACCCAACCAATAAACTATGACTTAATAAGTAACTGGTGGTGGTACAATCTCAACATCTTTTGGAGTGAGTGGAGAAGGAAGAACAATTCCAAACTTCTCTCTCAACAACTCTGTAATTTCTTCATTTGAAAGATCTGTAGTGGTTTTCATAGCTTGCTGTCCATCCTCTGAGGTCAAACTGGTTATAATCAGTTTGCGGCCCATGATTGTGATTCTTCCAGTGGGCAGTAAGAGTGAACAGAGAGATTTGCAGAAGAAAATCGAGCTAACAGAACTCTGATGGTAGTCACACATGGCTCTGAAATCATCTCTTTCACGTGACTCCAGGGTGAATTTGTACTGTTCCAACCAACATTCTTCTGCACTCCCTGATACCTCAGTCTCAGATTTCATTTCCATGAAAATGAAGTCTCCCTGAGATCTGATTCGATACACTCCGTGGCTCTGGGCTTGAGGACTATCTGTCTCAAGAGAAAGAGGGAGCTGGAATCCGGATCCAAACCCAACGTCACAGAGCCATCTGTGTCCATCCAGCTTCACCATCATGATGAAGTGGTCGAAGGGAGGTCCGTAAGCACCGGTGAACCGATTCCTGACCTGTGCGGAGAGAATAGTCACGTCAAAGCCCATCTGAGACAAAAGCCAAGAGAAGAGTCCATTGTTCTCAAAGCAGAATCCTCCACGGCGCATGAAGACGATTTTTTCATATAGAAGTGGCAACTCAAGCCTGACCCGCTCTCCGATATGAACAGTGAGGTTCTCAAAGGGAACTGCCATTAAGTGATTCAGGTGAACGTATCGTAAGGTCTCCAATGTCGGAGGACATGAACCAGAACAACTGATACGTGCCAAATACTTCCGAACATCCATTGTTTTGCAAATATCGCTGGTTTGTAGGTTAGTGTAGCAAAGAAAACTTTAAATCAAATGCAGCTGCTTAACACATTTAGACAACCTCATGCAAGCTTTCACTTTACACGGTGTAAACTCGGACTTTACTTTCACGGAAGTCCACGTCTTGTGCTCATGAGCATAAAGACACGAAACTTTCTTATAATTACACCTTTAACTATTTACAATGTTTCTGTAACACGATGAAAAGCATACAGCAAGTTATTGAATAAAAAATAAATTAATAAAAATAGACGTAAACGGAATGGTTCTGTTGGAGTGTTGCCAGATATCACAAGAGAAAGCAACTCGGTTTAAAAAAAAAGCCATAGCTTAGAAATATTAGGTAATAAAATATATTAATTCAAGGCTAAATATTTTTAATGTATGCCTATTTTAAGTAGCATAGTCTCGTGAAATAAAGAATTCTAGAAATAAATCCCTCAGTACCATTTTTACGAGAGAAACAAGCCACTTAATGCGGACATGGCAACGTTTGCTCTGGTTAACGCCCTTTATGTTGGCATTGACCAATCAGATCTCGGAGCCATTTTCGGTATCTAGGTGACGCTTACAAACAACCCGTTGCTGTGAAAAACAGAGATGCAAGTCGCTGCTGTCCTAGGATGACAAAGTAGTATACTACAAAGTACTAGGATATCTTTATTAAGAAGGACCAAGGACATAACTCTGTATTTAAAATAAACTTAACTGAAAGTGGTAAGTCCTTTAGTGCGTTAAGATTAGATGATATTTAGTTTAGCTTGAGCACCTGTGCTAGCCAATTTAAGTACCACAATTTTCTAATTTTCCTTTTCCATATTGCATGTATTGAATGATATTCTGACTGCTTAATGTCCTTTCTGTGTCCTTTTGTGTTCACTTTCTCCTGGTCATTATCTTAAAATACAACCTAGAGTGATGCCTCCTCCTGAAACAATGTACTGCGCCCAGCAGATCAACATCCCCCCAGAGCTGCCTAATATTCTAAAGCAGTTCACCAAAGCTGCAATTAAAACACAGCCATGTGATGTGCTACAATGGGCAGCAGAGTAAGTGTTGTTGTTTATAGTATACTATAATAATGCATCAGATTGGCATTATATACACTACCTTTCAAAAGTTTTTTCAGTTATCAGCATTGAAATGTTTCTTGAGCACCAAATCAGCATATTAGAAAAGAATGATTTCTGAAGGATCCCGTGACACTGAAGACTGGAGTAATGATACTGAAAATTCAGCTTTGCCATCACAGGAATAAATTACATTTAAAAACAATAATAAAATGCAAATTATTTTAAATTGTAATAATATTTCACAATATTACTGACTTTAAAAAAAAAACATCGTAATTATTCTAAACATCTGATCGGTAGTGTATGATGTATGCTCTGCTTTATATTGCAATGGAAATGTAATGAAGTATGACAACAATAAAACTGCTGCTCCTTCAGCTATTTTTCAGCTTTATCAAAAGGTCAGGGCATATCAGTCAAGGAGAGACTGGAAATGCCAGTGGCAACTCAGAAAACAGACACAGGACTGACACCAGGCCTTCTAAAGATCCTTCATCAACAGGTTTGATTCACTGCATCTCTCTTGTATGTTTTATACACATTGCATCAGATGTATATTTATGAATATTGATGAGATTTATCTTGCCTGTAGCTAGCACCTAACAAAGTCATTACAAAAGAGGAGCTCATTTGGAAGTGGAAAGATCTGTGCTTGCCAATTGAACAGCTTGACACAATCCTCGCCCTTGGCAACTTCAGTGAAAATATCAATTGGATGCAGTTTTTTGCTTTAGGATGCAGTGCGTTGGGTGGGGTGAGTAGCTATAAATATCTTATTTATGTACTTACCATACATTAATGATATTGTGTGGTGGTGGATTCATTTGAGGTGTTGTAATTCTACTAACTGACTCTAGATGGCAGTGTTGGATTTGAAATGGTCTCAACATTCAAGGAGTTGAACAAGGATGATTCATAAAGAGTGATTTATTCAAAATGTGCTAAACTATGTTGTAAAATGTAAGTTTTGAAAGAAAGCCCACTGTACTGTTCCCACAGGCCATCATGAGTGCTTTGCAACATGCATGTGAAATTCTCACAGAGGACTCTGAGGGTGGTTCAGCCCAGATTCCTTTCGACACATTTCAGAGGCTGTACACATACTTGGCACATCTGGATGGAGAAATTCCTAAAGAACAGATCGACAGCTTCTTGCACGGTTTAGAGGAGTGAGTACACACACACACACACACACACACACACACACACACACACACACACACACACACACACACACACACACACACACACACACACACACACACACACACACACACACCCACACAAACCCCCCCCCCCACACACACACACCCACACACCACGCAAAATGGTCTGATCAAGGTGACCAATTGCAGAAGCAAAAAAATGCAAAACGCTTAATCATTCTGACAGCAAGCAGTTTGCAGACGTTGAGCAATGAGAAGAGGTTTGATTGAATGATTTAGCCACATTTTGAGGGTGATAATTTCTTTCCTGTTTTACTTTTGTTGCCAAAGAGGAGTTTTAGGAGGTTATAAGTGATAAAGAATAGAAATTAATTGCTTTGACATTGTAGCTTGAGGTGTTTTCAGGTTTTTATTGTTTAAATTTACACCTGTGAAATTACAAAGCCTTCTGTTGTTTCTTTCTTTGAACCCCCCCCCCCCCAAAAAAAACTGTTCTATATTGAAAACTACTTCAAAAAATGACTGAAAAGATACACAATAGATATGACTTAAAACATCACATAATGCCATAAGGTTAAGTAGTTTTGCAATTGCATAATGTAAGCATCTGAACCATTATTGTCTGTATAAGACAGCAATTACTAGTGCATTTGTAAGAGTGTGTCCTGTGGGTGGTTTTATTACTTTGTGATGGGTTTTTGTTGTCATACTTCACCGGCATACCAACACCAAGTGTCTTTTTCAATCGCATTCAACAAGAATTCATCCCCTGCTTTCTTTTTAGCTTAATGTTTTTAAAGATATTTAGGAAGCCTAAACATCTTTAACACAATTCAAAGACCCAGGACAGTATCCAATTTACTATTAATACATAATGACAAGGAACTTATAGAACTTTGGATGAATCATGTTATCATGACCATTATTACACTCATATTTTTCACAGTTAACTCTACTGGTCAACAGCCTATATGTACAATTGTTTTCATATATTTGGCCCCATAAATACTGTCCCAGATTTAATGACTTCACGACATGTTGAAAATAAACCTGTTTGTAAGTATAAATATGGATTTAGTATATTTAATTACCATTCAGACATCACATCAGAAGGTGCTTTGTACTTACCAGTCCTTTGAAGGCCATTTCATAGGTGTTAAGCAATTTTAAAGGCTGAAATGAAAGACTTATTGACTCTTTTGCAATTTAAATTATGTACTAAAGACAAAATGGACGTGGACTTACACAGTTATTACAGTGTACTAGATATAGAACCTGTAACTAATAAAAATGACTAAAAAGTCCATATTGTAATTCAATAATTTCTTAAACAATAATGGCCCTTAAAGGGATAGTGCATCCAAAAATGAAAATTCTCTCATTATTTACTCAGCCTCACATGGTTACAAACTTTGCAGATATTTTTTAAATGTTTTTTTTGTCGATACAATGAAAGTCAAGGGTCCAATATTGTTTTAGAACCAAATGACTTTGATTGTATAAGCAAAAACAGTTTTGTGTTTCAGGGAAGAATGAAATTCATAGAGATTTGGTTTCATTTTTGGATTCACTACCCTTATAGCTTTTGTTATCAAATAATTGATGTCACTGTGGGAATTTTGGCAGTGATGTCATACCATTTTACCAGAACCATTTTTAATTCCCCAAAGAACCTTTCAGTAAAGTGTTTTTAACGAAAATAAAAACTGGCTAAGAGACAACAGGAAAACAGATAAGACTTGTCCTCAGCTTTGCATGTGTGTATGTGTGTAGCAGTCACTGATACAGCTGAACCAACCCAACATCACCACAGTGTGCCCTTTATAACTCTCAAAAGATACAGAAGCAGCACACAAGTTTTCTAGTGTTCATAGAAACAGGAACTCCTGAAACAAAAGCAGTCTATTCCTGAGAGTACACAAATGTTTGGGAAGTGTGTTAGTGAGACAAATTAAAGTGAAAAATAATTGAAAAGAGGATGTTAGTATGTAATTAATGAGCAAAAACAGTTCTTTTCATAAGATCCGGCCAAGTGCAGTTGGATGCAGCAATCTCCTGTCATGATGAAAAAACAGATTACACATGACATTTATAGACGTTTAATAGAAAACTTTGTTTTTCCTGCTTTCAGAGAGTGCCAAGGAGGAATGGTGCAACCTTCAGATTTTACAAGCTTCCGAAGCGCTGAGTAGAATCCAATACAGTTGGTCCTCAGGTGGCAATATCTTACATCACGCTCCAAAAATATGGATCCTAGTTACTACAGTATGTCCTGTTTGCACTCTTTATTCTGTATATTGTGAGGTCATTTGAATATTTAACCGAAATAAATCCTCAAATCTCCAATCGAGGTAGCCTGGATTAATGTTACAAAAGTGAAAGGAAGCCCAAACAAGGCTACTGGTCTATTAGGTGCTTATTCGAGCGTTATAAGCTTTCAGTTTCGAAATAATCGCACCACTGTGGTTGTCATGTGCTTCTATTTGAAAGAAACTATATTCTGTTGCAATCAAATGTACCAGCTCTCATATCTACCTCAACACACACACACACACTTCACATGTTAATGAACATGTTAATGATATTTTCTACAGCATAACCCAACCCCTACCCATCACAGAAACATGTGCAAAACATTAAAGTTTTTTATTTTTATTTTTTTACAACTGCTAGGACACATTTCTCGATAGCTAGGTCATTTTTTTTAAACTGGTCACACAGTGAGCTAAACTGTGGATCATTTATCATTGCTTTGGCACCAAATGCATTCAATGATCTTTCAGTTTACATGAATTTGTTTCTCACTTAGACTCAAACACCACCAAAAGTCTATGTACCTACAGAACAATTTGCACGTTTACATACTCTTTTCAAAACTCTTAAACTTAAGTTCAAAACCTAACATTTCTACAGTAATACCATATTGAATTATATTCTTATTCTAAAAATGAAATGCTATCAAAACAATTAGACGTAGCTAAACACCTACACACGTGTTAGTCTTTCAATTTCATTCATCAATACAAAATGGAAAAACTTAGGAATTTTTTTGTACTGTAATGCAAACATGGACTATGTAATACAGCAGTGAATTAGGCTATAAGCAGTATAGTGTAATTCTTGTTTTGTACAGAAATGTGTCTTAGCGAGGACATTTGGCCCTCACAAGTAGCCAAACCTGTACACACACACACACGTTAAATTGAAAACAATGACAGCATCTATCACATTTTTGTACCACACATTTGTCTTTGTCACACTGTTACATTTGTGTGTTTTGGAGAAGCAGAGGCACAGAAACCGGCAGTCACGCAGTTGGTCTGATTAATTTACCCTTTTGAGGATGGAAAGAGGCTGTGTACTAATTTGGAACCAAAAGGAGGTACTCAACCTTCACAGACCTGTAAATGAAAGCCATTCTCTATATTTTCTACGAAATTAACTGATTGACCCCTAAGTAATCAAGCTAATTTTAGATTGACAGCCCTTTAAAGTCCCATCAGTGAGATGTTATTCCCAACAATATTTGCAACAAGGATAACAGTTTAAAATTATAGGTTTTAAATTAGAAACAGACTCAGAAATAATTAGTTTGACACGGACACATCAGTCTTGGACAAGGATTTATCCAGGTGCTTTTGGATGCTCGACAGAGAATCCCACATCAACCTTTTCCCAGGATGAAGTTCTCCTTCTTGATCAGCTCCTGGGGATTTATTAACCTAAGCAGGCCAGAGTGCTGAGCTAATGTAATTGTCTAAGCCGAAATAGCCAAGGAGCAGCATGGCTTCTTTTATTTCTGAGAGAGATGGCAGTCAGTTCCCGTTCTGATCCCTCACTAACAACTCACTCCAACTCTAAAGAAGAAGCAGAAAGAGTATGCATTTCAAATTACAGTGAATGGGGCTAATTTTTGGAGGATTTAAAAGCTAAAATAATTTAAGTAAGGAACAATTAATGACGGGCCGTTGAATTATTAGAAAAACAATGCACACCCGAGGTCTGTTAATAATGTAACATGGCTGTTACATTATTTTTCAATAATTCACTATTCACAGAGTCAATTTTTCCGCTTACACTATACGGTTAACACACCTTTTGTCCTTAAAACGCTCTTGTGTGTAGGACTAATTTCTTAAGCATCTAATCCCAAGCTTCCAGTGCTAATTCGTGCTAATTCCAGTATAAAAAGTCATTTTAGAGCTAGTAACAGAGGCTTGAGCCATAAACATGGAAGTAATTTGTCGTTTTTATCCTACTGTTTACTATATTTATTTGCTCGGTCAGTGTCGATGTGGGTTTTGGTTCTGTAGGTTGTAAAGACCTTTGAAATAACTCAAATCCTTTGGCGAAGTGATATGGAACATCATCATGGAATTTTTAACATGGAAATCATGTTAACTCTCATATTGTTCATATCTTGAGGCTATATTACTGAAACAGTGTTTTAATGTTTATGGATTGGCTCCATTCACAGTGCCAGACTGTATCCCAGATCTTTGCTTCTTCTTTTTTTTTAAAGGGTGGACAAGTGGGAATAACTTTTTTGTGGTAATCAGCATTATGCTACAAATGCTGTCAATTGTAAATTTAATAAATATTTTATTTACTATGGTGTAGTATAGTTGTGCAGAGTATATAGTGGGATATATAGCATAGCATGGAGGTTATTCACTCACAGTGAATACAATTCACTATACAATTCACACAGTGAATTGTATTCACTGTGTGCATATACAATTGCGTCACTGGCCGTAAACTGATAGTCAGGCCATGGCAGTTAGAAAACTCATTTTTGGCAGCACAGTTTACTTGTTTTTAAAACCACAGTACTTCCCCTCTGTCACAGATGTTTAACGGTCAAACACAAGCATACAAAGCAGTGTGGACTGCTGCGCTGCACGTATACGTGACTGATAAGATTACAGCTGCAAATGAAGGGGATGGAGCCCGAGCTCCCTGTTCGGGGCTAAACGACTCACTAATTAGACACAGCAAGTATGGCACTTATCTAAGAACTAAGAGGAAACGGGGGATAAGATTGTGGAAAAAGCTTGAGCTTGTAATAGAGCACACACGATAGATATAATGTGTGACATAGAGAGGCGTTTGTGAGAAGTTTGAGTGTGTATAGTGTAATTTCCCTAAAAATAACAGATTTTTTTTTATTTTAAAGTGCATGTTTTCAGAAGTGAAATGTGAATGACATCATTTGAATGGGACTGGAGTGAAGAAAGCTGAGATGATAGAGGCCATCCAAGGTCCACAGTTTCTGAAGATGTGAAGTCTAACAAAAGTGAGAGAAAAAACAAGTGTTGGAAAGTTGATTAATTACTCTGCTATTGTCAGGGACATCCCCGACACAGCCACAGTCACTGAGAAAAAAACGGAAAACCCATGATGATGGTAAACAAAACTTTGTACTTTCCTGAAATGACAAGTTTCAGCCGCTTTGTGTTTAGTGAACACAGTTAACGTATATATTTTACATTTTATGTAGAACTTATTTTAATTCAAACAAAACTTATTTTAATTCAAACATATTTTCTTTCATGAATATGTTTTGTGTCATTTTAAATGTTAGTAGCCTATTAACTGAATTTAATATGGGTGGGGGAATTGTCATTGACCCATATATGCAAAACTGTATATAGAGAGAGAGAGAGAGAGAGAGAGAGAGAGAGAGAGAGAGAGAGAGAGAGAGAGAGAGAGAGAGAGGAGGGCATCTAATCGGATTATGGAGGCAGAGTTTTGTAGCGCACGCTTCTGTTTCTCCTCTTATCTTCTGCGTGAATGTCCGGCGTTTCCACACTCAATGCTGTTTTTTGGAAACATCACACAATCTGAAAAGTTTTTCCTGGGAAGAAATTGCGACATTCTGAAGATTGTTTCACATTACATGGAATTGCAAATATTTATTATTGGGACTTTTCGGTTTCCACACGAGGTTCTACTCGTCTCCGGGTGTTACTGAACACTACATTGACATTTCGCGTTATAGAGACATCAAGTTATTAAAATGAGCTGATAAAACTACGTTAAATTATTTTTATATGGACATCTATATGAGTGGGGCAAAATGACGTCGCAGATACTTAAAAGAAGATTCGAACCTCAGTTTGGAGATTAAACTTTTTTTTTTTTAATAGCATTTTTGCTCATTTGGCATCTATGACTTTAACGTACCTAACGTTAAATGCAGACGAAGGAGACCAGGAGTTTGATCCGCATGACTTGAGGATTTTATCATATAGGGGTTAAATGGTTCTGATAACGGACAGCAGGGATGGCGGAGGATCATCTCCAAGAAAAGTTAAACCACTTAAACATGGTAAAAGCGCCCAGAACTGTCCCACTATAGTGGAGGAATCACCTGATCGCGCTGGCGATGACGATTATGATGAATATCTCGGTTCGTGCGAGTCGGAAGGGACCGATGAGGATTTAGAGGAATTGGGGGACTTCTCAGAACTGCCGGATGACAGGAGTATCGTCTCAGATGACTCATTTTATCCACCGGACGATGACTTTGCTGACTCCGAGAGAACCCCTTCCCCGGAGAGTCCAGCACCGCTGTCCTTTTTTCAAGCGTGTTGCAAAAACAACGCGCTCATAGTGAAACTCATGATAAGACAAGGTGTTACGGAGGAGGACGTTCGGGAGACTGACAAAAACAAAAGAGTAAGTAGTTTATGAACATCACACTTTACAGTACACTTAAGCTACATATCACATGCTACAGTGAAGTGTTTAACAACGATAAGAGTCGTGAACGAATCGTTATACTGAGTCGGAGTTTTCAATGAACTGGTTGAACCGTTCATTAAATTGGTCTGAACGATTCGTTTGCGAATTGGACTGAATCCGGAGTGTGCGAATCGGTCAGAGAAAGTAGATCTTTTCGAATCTGTCTTTCTAGGTCTATTCCGGATTAAATGGATAATTCATTATTTACTCACCCTCAAGTTGTTCCAAACCTGTATGGGTTTATTTTTTTCTGCTGAACACAAAAGAAGATATTTTGAAGAATGTAACCAGACAGTTGACAGTCTGTAGCCATTAACTTTCATAGTAGCCTATTTTCTTTTCCTACTATGGAAGTCTACCGTCGTGAACTGTTTGATTAGGCCTACCAACAGAAGAAAGAAAGTCATACAGGTTTGGAACAACTTGAGGGTCAGTGAATGATGACAGAACTTTCATCTTATGGGTGATCTATCCCTTTTAACAACTCACTGGTCCGGGTTGCTGCCGTCTCGTTCAAACCATAGGGTTCGAATCGATTCCTAATGAGCCGAGAACCGATAATTGACTCGTATGGAGTCAAACCCGAGGATTTGACTGATGGGAAGAAAGGTAAATTACTTTAATCAGAAATGTTACAAATAATTTTTTTTACGAATGGTCAAATACCTTTTTAAATAGACCTTTTCAAAGAACAAGATGTTGTTTATTAGTTGAAATGGGAGCATAAAGGTGTCATATAATGGTACATGCACTTTTTCAAGTTGATACTGAAATGTGTGTTGGCAGTGCCTGTACACAACCATCATATAATGATAAAAAAAAATCCATCGAGTGTTTATTTTTTAATCTCCTTAAATGTTTTTCCCTGTCTCAAATCGAGCGGTCACACGGTCGGACGCCCCTCCCACGATTGTTGATTGACAGCAGCGTTTCAACACATCCCCGCCCTGAGCGAGCTGTCATCATAGTCCGTCATTGTTGATACGCTGGAGCAGAGTGGCGTCTAAGCGATTGTGGTGTTCTGTTCTTGGGTGTAATAACGAACACAGCAGTCATTTTGATGTTCCTAAATCCGATGCAAGATGCAGTGGCTGAAGATACAGTGGCTGAGTTTTGTTTTCGAAGGGAATATTCGCCACAATCAACGTCAATGCTTTCATGTTTGCGCAAAATCATTTCTCACCAGACTGCTTTAAAACGAGGGTTAATATAAAGCTGGTTTTGCTAAGAAGCTGCTCCTGAAAAAAGAATTGGTACCAACTATTCGTGCACCTCCAGAAGAAGTGAGTGTAAAGTTTTATTAACCGTTAAATTAATCTTTGCAAATTGCTTGCACGCTTCACGATGAATGTGACTAAGGTTTACACTCAGGGTACATTACGGCATGTTTTCTATGTACGACGTTCTCAATATAATTTATAATCCCACATTTATAATGAACAACACGTTATGGTTATTGTTTTATTACAAACTGTGTACGCAGGTGTTAAAGTTAACGTGGTAACACTCTACACTAAGCCTACTTTTGTAGATGGTTTATAACGGTGTCTGTTACTGATTAAGAAGTAACTGACACGCCTATATTTACCGAAAAAAAGTTTTTAATGACCATTAGCTGTAACATCAATCTGTCAATGAACTAACGTATACATTAATAAACACGCAGCGTTCGTATCTCACTACTCTACCCTGCCAGTGCATACAAAGATAGATCAAAGTGACATTATGTTAACCAACCATTCAGAAACGTCCTGTTCGAGCCTTAATTGTCGAACTTCCTCGGGGCCGTCATCTTGTTCCGGTCCGACTCCGGTTCAAACTGATACGATTGCACAGATGTGTCCTCAGAGACTCCCGCTGCCATTCTTTCTCCAAAATATACCCTCAACTGTTGTCAAGGCAACACTCCACATGTGTTGTGTCAAAACGCCCCACAGAACAGAGAGGCGGGGTTGAGCAAAGCTCATTATCATTTAAAGACACATGCACTTAAATGGCGTGCTGAAAACAGAGCTGTTTTTGACCAGGTAAAATTATTGTTTTCTTACAATACTAATGAGAATTTTTAATTAAAGTATATTACAAACTTTTCATTTAGAACCTAAAGAATCAAATTAACTTGTATGAAAATGGCATTATATGACCCCTTTAAAGCTGCTGTAGGTAACTTTTGTAAAAAATATTTTTTACATATTTGTTAAAACTGTCATTATGTCCTGACAGTAGAATATGAGACAGATAATCTGTGAAAAAAATCAAGCTCTTCTGGCTCCTCCCAGTGGTCCTATTGCCATTTGCAGAAATACACGCTCCCGGTCAGAAACAACCAATCAGAGCCAGGAGGAATGTCTTAGCAGTGTCAATCACGCTCGTGTACGCGCTGATCACACCCCTCTCTTGCACAGCGCGAGCCGTCGTTCAAACTCAGGATTGCCGGCGTGCTGCAGCTGTGCTTATGACGGAGAAACAACCTAAACTGCCAATTCTCGAGTGACACCTGCTCATAAAACAAAGAGGTAAAAGGAAAAAGACTGATGACGATAAACAAGCGAAAAAGAAAGAATTACACAGAGCCCATTGACTCGGTGTCAAAACTCTAGCCGCATAACATGTAGATAAAATGTCACGCACTCTGTTAAGCAACAATTGACACCTGCTAATTCACTGGCTTGTCATGTTGCTGAAATAATGTACTAGCACACCTTATCTAGCATAATATATCGCTAGAATAATTACTTACATACTGTAACGTTAGTTACCGTTATATTAACGTTATCTTACTAGCTATTTATAACTTATAGAAAGAGTGCAACGTTATAAAGTTACATGTAGGCTAGGCTTGCCGCGATAGACGGTGTTGACGGTGTTACCGGTTTTAAGCCCCATCACCGGTGACTTCACTTTCCCACCGTGACACCGCGATGTCTTGACTTTTTTAAAGTATTCGTTTTTGCTAAAAATATTTATTTGAATTAATTAAAAATAATAATTATCAATTATGTAGTTCAGAAGAGAGCATACATTATAATTAAAAACTGAACTGCGCAGTGCGTGCCAAGAGCTAGTCACGTCACAGATCAGCAAGCATCAGGATTCCATTTAGCACGTGTGGAGATGAGAACGAGTCAAATAACAGAAAAGCTTATTTCGAAAGTGAAAGTATAACGCGCACGCATGTAAAAGCCAGAGCTGCCAACTTTTGAGTTTAGGTTTTACACTTACACACGCAAGGTCTCTCGCTCGCTTTCCCTCTCTCCCGTACGCGCGCGCTACGCGGTTTGAAGCTCTGTCTCGCGTGCGCGCTCGCTCTAGATTCCAGGAGATTTTAACTATTTTGCGGTATAATTAGTCGATCACGAGTGGCTCAACAGGTAGATATATAGATAAACTCATCTTCCAGGCATTTGACCGACCAGGTTGACACTTCATGCGTGAGAAATCGGGAGTGTGGCGTGAGAGCGTGTGAAAGCAATCAAATGCGTGTGTCTCGCGGCCAATGCGTGAGAGTTGGCAGCTCTGTAAAAGCTTTTTAAGTTTGTGGTATAAGTTTGTCTCGGGGCTATCTATCTATCTTCTCCCAAAACTCGAATTAGCATTTTTATAACATTCAAGATACCCATTTAAAGTAGGCTAGCCTACTTAATAATTCTTACCTGTTTAATTGTGATTGTCACAATAACTTCTATTAAGGCACTGCCCATAACAACTGCCTGACATTGACACACCGATCCTACAAAAACCCAACACTTCTTGTTGGGGCAGTGTGATATTTTGGTGAATGTGGTAGTTTTATAGCATTTCTCTAAAAATATGTCTTCAAATGTCAGAAAGTCAGTTAGACAATCAATTCTACATGAACATCAAACACAAAGTTTAAGGTTTGATTCTGGCAGACTGCTGGGACCTCTAAGGCATGTGTTTTGGGATAATTACATTGTATAAAAGCTAAACGCAAAACAGTTGTATGAGTGCAAAGTGTTTAAGAGTAATGCACAAATAATTTGCAGGCCTTGAGGGTTTAATAATGGAGTTGCACAGTCCCAAGAACAAGCCTCTTGCCTTTTCTCTTTCTAGCACAATCCTGGTCATTCCTCGCAAAAATTAGTCCCCGAGTGACATCAACCTCCCAGAGCGTGAGCCCTCGACAGTTCAGAATGTATCACGTTACAACTTAAAAGCTTGGATTTTAGAGAATGTGTCTAAAAAACGTGAAATCAATACACTCCATAAAGAGAAACTGATATGATGTCATGGCTAATGCAGTCCTGATAGCCTAACACACAGAGCTCTATAGGAGAATGACTGTAGAATGCTTTTAAGGAACCTCAAGAGCTCCACTTCACACAGGCGCTTCTCTTATCTCGTCTCTCATCACTCTTCTATACTGGACAGTTCAGAGAAACAGGCTCAGGATTTCCCCACTAATAATTCCAGCATGTGCTCTGTTCATCTGAGACATCTCTGCATGGTGTAATGCTGTAAATGAGGTTATTAGTCAGTACCCCTTCATAGGCCGAATGACATGGCAAAAAAACAACAACACACAAAACATGTAGACACAGTAGTGGCCAAAAGTGATGTTTGGAGGGGGAACATTTGTTTTTAATGACCCCACAAGTTCCATTAAACCATAGAAATATGCGAGGAATATATATATACTGTACACTCACCGGCCACTTTATTAGGTACCCCATGCTAGTAACGGGTTGGACCCCCTTTTGCCTTCAGAACTGCCTCAATTCTTCGTGGCATAGATTCAACAAGGTGCTGGAAGCATTCCTCAGGGAGTTTGGTCCATATTGACATGATGGCATCACACAGTTGCCGCAGATTTGTCGGCTGCACATCCATGATGCGAATCTCCCGTTCCACCACATCCCAAAGATGCTCTATTGGGTTGAGATCTGGTGACTGTGGAGGCCATTTTAGTACAG